TATTGTTGCAAGTGTCGGTGAAAATAGTGACAATGATCATTTCGAGGTAATTAGGTTATGTATTTGCTTTGTTAAAATAATTGTTTTTTACCTCCCTGAAACAATTTTCCAAATCCAGAGGTTGACTGGGTTGTGTAAATGTGTTTCCCTGCATGTCCTGTAAGTACCCCCAGCTTCTGTCCAATTTGATTGATTATGCCTCTTGATACATTTAACAATGAAGCAATGTCTCCCTGACTCTTCCCACTAAAATTCGCTGGACTCTTTCTATCACCTGTGCTGGGATCATTACGCTAAACTGAAGTGTAAGTCATATCCAGCCTTGTTTATATGTTTTTGAAGGTACTTGGTGGCTCTCCTGTAAATGCCATTAAATTCTTGCTTTGTTTTTGTCATCAGTTGCCCTTGGTTAACACAAAGGGCTATTATATATTTATCTCCTTGCAATGTATCATATCCATTAATGATTTTAAAGGGATATTTGTATAATAGTATTTATTACTACAATTTGTTATCCTATCCGGCTTTAACAAAACCATGGAGACCATAATACATCAGGCTGCCAGTTTAACTTTCAGTATGATTTATTTCAATTTATATTCTCAAGCTGAATGTTCCCACATTTGATGGGAGCTTAAGGAGACCACGTAAATCAAGCACTAAATCACCACCATTGACTGGACCTTTGGCAGTGTCATTGGCTGGACCTTCTGCTGTGTCTGTAACTGGGCCTTCTGCTGTGTCAGTAACTGGACCTTCTCCTGTGTCAGTAACTGGACCTTCTGCTGTATCAGTTCCAGGGCCATCTGTCACTTCTGCTGCTTCACTGATGGAGAATTATAGGTATTTGCGCAACCTTAATCATTGTAAGGTTGGTAGCTTCATGTATATGGGCTTTCTACTAGGATCTAAAAAATGTCGCGTCATAAGGAAGTGTCCTCATTACATTAATATGGTAGAAGGTTATTCATGATTGTGGTTTACATCATTTTATGAATTTTGATGACGGTATTACAAGCTTTTCATGAATTAAAACAACTTACAGTAATTGCTTCAACCATTTGTCACCAAAATATCACAACCTACTACTGACAGTTTCCAAATTTATTCAATCAAAATTCGCCAATATGGTTTCAATTATATTTTATTTATTTTCTTTTTCACCCAGCGTCGCTAATGTAACCGATGTACTTGGATCTACTTGCGCGATCGTTTGCCTGAAAATGGATAAAGAAATTATATCATTGTGGTTTCTGTCCCTGTGTTAATGTAAAGTACATGTCAAGCTAATGCCTTAAGCTTAAAATTATGAAAAAGTGATAAACAATGTGCAAAAAGGAGATGACATTACAATGTGGTCTGATACAGTATCCTTAAAGTGGGCAGGGTTCACGCTATGCCTTTGGGTTATACAGAGGCTTCGTCATACCTTTGATAATGCCACCATGTAGCTTATCCAACAGGTGGTCGACTTTGTTCTTTCTTTTTCTTTCTGTAATTTTGAATAGATAAGTGTTAGCCGATCACAAGTTCAAAACGGATGTAGTATATGGTATTGTGTCACTTGATGGCGGCTCGTACGAATAAGATCATCAGCTTTGTGAAAAGAAGTAAAATAAATGTACCTATTTTCGTAACTTGCCGTACCACAGTAAATTTATTTTTCCTATTAACATATGGTGGAGAGCAATGCCCTCCTGTCATTATGCATCGTGCTGTTATATGAACGAAAATGTAAATTGACATGTTCCATCTTTTTAGCTAAAATAGAGGGCGCTTGTCAATGCAAGTTTCAACCGGGTAAAGGCAAATGTCGCGCATCATGACGACGATGTTATGCAATATAGTTGTTGCGGAAATTACTTTATTTTGAGGCTTGTGATGCTAGCTATCGCATGACTTTTGTAACTTGTAACTTGCGATCGAACCTAGAGAAAATTACCATGTTGAGCTTTTAGTTTTGAGTGATATGTTGGATGAGTTTTATAATCATCAAAGCAATTCGAGATACGAAGTTTCTCTTCGAGTGTTGAAAAACAACACTCGAAGAGGTAAATATTCAACACTAGCCACCGACACTGAGGTGAATAAATGTTCTAGTATATACTAAAACAGTGAGATAATTGAGCACAAAAATGATGATTTTTAACTCATAATTTACTGTTGTCGTCGATTACAATTTTGGCGCACATGACCGAACGGCCGCGGTCATCACTTTTTCTTGCTGACAATTTTTGAAGGTATTTGTTTAGCTCTTGAGGGGAAATTTCTTCAAGAGGAGTTGTGAATTCTTCTTGTACTTAAAATCATTCTGTAAAAAAGATTATTAAATTTAGTTTTAAGCTAATTTATGAACAAGTCAACTGAATAAAGTAACTTAAGACTTCAGCTTAATTTGCATTTGTAAACAAAAGACTCTTCCACCGATTTTATCGATAAATTCAAGTAAAAAAGACAAAGCTTTACCTGTTAAAACTTCCAAACCGAACTTCGTCACCTTCTCCGTGTATTTCGGGAACAGCTTGCTTGATTACTTGTGAAATTTGTTTGTTTGTTTCAGCAGCAAACCGGGAAGGCATTTTGCTTACAACTTGCGCGAGTTTAGCGTTGCTCGCTCGGAGGAACTTGAGCTGAATAAGTGAATAGTGCAGGATATTCACTGATTGAGTAGCCAATCATAGCAGGCGAAAAATACTATCCACTGTTTTAGTATATACTAATATATAATAATTCCGATTTACCTTCTGAGGTAGACAACATCCGCGAAAATGCTTCGGCTGTGGGAGTTTTAACAGATTCTCTTCACATGTTTGCTTCCTTAGCTGTTGCTGCAGCTCAGAGATGGTCCCTCATAGCTCTTCTTCTACAACCTTCCAATTTCTTTCTTTGTCAGCGAACTGTTGCTCCAAATCCTTCATTGCTTGTTCAGTAGCGGCGCATTTTAGCTTTTCTCTATGAAGGGTTTCCTCTAACACTTTCTTTTCTTCCATTAGCTTCGTACTATGTTGCTGAACAGCATCTAATTTCCTTCCAAGACGTTCTAATTCCTGTCTGTCACGTTCTTCCCTTGCAGTGCTGTCCTCAGGCTTTTCTTCTTTATCGGCAAAAAATGCTCTATAAAAGATGAAGAAAGAAAATCAGGCCTATCTTAACTTATCCTTTTAACAACGATTTTGTAAATAAAAAATTGGTTTTGATAAATTTTTCTTATTGCAGCCTTGCTGTATACCTTCATCAACCAGGTGGAGGGTGTTGTTTGGCACCAGACCCCTTGGGATCTTTACACACCGTCTGCGTGCCACCAAAACTACCAGAATGATCCACCGAAGTGCCAGGCATTTCACCGATTTGTCTTCTCAACTTTGGGAGGTTAAATGTTCCTTTTGGCCCCAAACGCTGTTTGATAAACGTTAACACCTCAGGTAATATGATGTGTAGACACTGTCCGTCACAAGACTTGACATCATGTTTTACAAATGTCCTCAGTTCCTCTAAAAAAAAACAACTACAATGCCATTCAAAACTAGGCTCCATTTCCGCCATCTCCTGGGTTCGGTCTTTGATCAAGCTTAAGATAAGCCTGTGGAGGAAAACTATTTTAACACCGAAATAATGTAGTTATAGTGTAGTATTCGAACTTTAACTTGATATACATTTTCATATCCCAAACTATTACAGGTATATATGTTTCTGCTTTACATGAGTAGTTTTAGACAGTATGATATATTATTTTGGCAAAATAAACACTGAAAGAGAGTACTCTGGCTATGTATTTACTTTAACGTTTGGGAATACCTCAATATTCTTTGTGACTTGTAATGTTTTGTGGAGACATTCACAGAAGTCTTGAAAGCTTGAATCCTGGGCAGCCACGTCACATCTACCACCCATTTGGACTATGTTCCTTACATATGGTAGAAACATGTTGTCCAGGTAATTTTCAAACTCCTCCGCTGAAATCGAATTATTACTTTCATCTTCACCTGCACAATAGCTTTCTATACCTGCCAACTCTCACGCCTGCGGGTTGAAAACTTCGATCTCACACCAGCTCACGCCTGCGGGCCAATTTCTCACGCCTGATTGAAAAATGTGAGTTGTTGCCGTACTCAGACCCATGTAAGGAAAGAAAACCATGTGTAAAATGAATAAATGGCAATACCATCCTCGCGATCTCTGATTTTTGAAGTGAAAAGCACTGGGAGCGAGCTTGCCTTTGGCAGACTTCAGACGTCTTCGGAAGACTTCGGACATCTTCGGGAATCTTCAGAAAAACACTGTTGAGTGGTGGTGGCTTTTTGGACCTTCTGGGAACAGTTCTTGTATGTATCGTTTTACAATACCACCTCTACAAACAACGTCCTGCCCTCTGAAAGTAATTTTCAAAACACTGTGGACACACTGTGCGTTGGGTTTTTTTACAGCTGGTATTTCCAGGTAATGTCAAGTAGAACGGAAGCCATGTGTGTTGCTTTATGAAAGTCATCCAACAGGAGAACCATAGAAGTACCTTCCTAATAAAATACAATCATGAATAAATAGTCGTAATAGTCAGTAGCTATGTTTTGAACTTAGTAATCAAGTTATTATGTTACATTCTTATTAGCCTGTGAACAGGGTCTCTGTTTGAAGAAAGGGTGAAAAAATCTTGCCCTTCCGCAAACAGAGAGCCTTTTCACAAGCTACCTTCTTACACGCGATAGTCCAATTTCTTTAATCTCTTACTGAGTTGTCAAAAGGTAATCATAAATGCCACTAGAAGTGTCCAGGTTATCAAACAATATTAAATTTGTCATTCGAAAAATTGTTGTGGTATTTGTAAATTTTCTGTCATTTAATGTCAATAATAAGGCACTCTGATTCCAATGGTTTGGCTGTTTTTAAAACATTTCTGTGTTGCTTTCAATTTATTTTATTTTAGAAATGGATTTGTATTTAATAACTGTTATCAGGTATTTACATATTCAGTTTCACCTTAACTGACTGTTCTATTTTTTGCTTTAACAAGCTTGGATACTGCTCCCGTAAGTTGATGTTGTGCCTATCAATTGATCTTGGTGCTGGTGCATATACAGACCCAGGTCTTTTTGCAAGGGACATGACTTCTGGGATCTAGACAAAGATGAAAAGCAATTTTTTTTTGACCACACGATCTCATTAGAGTTCAGCATTGTTTTCTATTTCATTCCTTGCCAGATACCTAAAATATGTCATAATATGGAGACGAGCAACTGTTCTTTGCTCCTGCAGTGTTTTCCTGTCTTCTGACAGCCTAGAGTCATCTCTAAGAATTGAACTGAGGAGGACATCAAACAAGCCTGGCGCATGAATCTCGGAAAACTTCCTCATATCTTCTGCATTGTATAATGGTTTGCCACTATTTTCATAGTGGCTGCTGAGGGGCTTCAAAAAATGTCTCCATCATTTTCTCAAACGAAGGCCCTAAAAAATATAAATTTCTTCAATGTTAATTTTATTAGCACTTGATTTAAATCATGTTATGTGTTGTTGGAAAATATTTTGAGAGATAAAAACATCGGGCATTGGGCTTAATGAGTTGAAAGAGAGAGGGATGTAAGTTTTCTGATTTCACTCAGGAAAGTTTCTTCTGCACTCAACCTTACATCTCCAGCTCTCGATAATGCTTTATCCACCCTCCTGAGCTGCTGTTGACTACACTTTTTTCCCTTCGGTGTTCTCTCTTCCTTTACACATCCGCTTCCGGTGGTCACGCTCAGTGACAGCGACAGTAAACAAATCGTGGCGGCGACAAGCTTTTACCACGAAGAACTTTTTTCATGAATGTCAAAAAATTTAGTGAACTAGGAGAATAAAGAAAAATTATCGAACTATATCAACTGTGAAAACGAAAACCTTCTCTTTGCAGTACGTCGCTTCACTTTAGCAAATTAATAACTGTCGTTCAACTTTTTTTCGTGTGACACCGGTTTCTGCAATGATTTCAATTAAATTTTTGTGCGGGAAATTTTCACGGCTGGTGACCGGGTATGAGTGCATTGCACATGCTCCTGCGTTTGACCGCTGTTAAAGGGGCAGTCTCTTGAGTTGCGCATGCTCGGGAAATCGCCCTCACAACGCTCTTGTTTATCATGGCTGCCATGATGGATTCTTCGGTATTGTGGAAATATTTTGCTTGGAATGTCCTCGATTTCTTTAATTAGACTTTTAGAACATACCAAATCAAACTCTTATTGTTAGGTAGGATCACAAGGATGTAGTTGTAAGAGCTCTTTCAGCACGAAACGCAAAGGAAACAGTAACAGAGGATGTTCGTGCAAAGGCCAGTGTGGAGACAGTTGTAATTGCATTTGTAAAAATAGGGTAAGTTGCCACTGAAAGAAAATTATAATGATTACATTCCTAGTTTTTGTGAATCTTCTCTTCGTTAGAAATTCATGGACGGTTATTTTTGTGCATTTCATGAATCGCAAGGAGGTGCGACCACGGGGAAATCTTGGCTTTCACCTGGCAAGTGATGCCAACCCAGAAACCGAAAGGTTATCAGAAGACGCTCAGAGTGAAGGAAAATGACGATGTCAAGGTAGTATTTGGATTTTTTTCACATTTCCAGAGACTGACGCAATGGTGCAATGACATATACATGTGAAGGTGAATTAAAAAGTGTGCTCTACAACTACAGCTGTACATGACTTTAGTCAGCTGCTTTTATAGTATAATGTGGATAACTTCTTTAGCATCTTCGGTTAGTGTAGCTGGTAGCTTAGCCTGGTTAGCTTAGCTGGCTAATGCAGCAGGCTATTTTTCTTTAGCCTCATATTTTTTTCACTCCCCTTGAGTCACTTTCTTTTGCTCTATCTTGGATGTATCTTGCAAGGTTATAAATATTGTTTTTCATGAAGACTTACTGCTCTCTTGTAGCATTCAGATAGAAAAGACTTCTTAGCATTTTGATGATTTTTTTCTCTTTTTTTTTCAGGAATTTATTGGAACCTTGGATCATGAAATGAAATTGCCCAAAATCATGCACCCAGATTTCTCACCACAGTTGGGGGTGCAAGAGTGTTTTACCATTCGGTTTTTTTTTTACCATCCTGACCAGTGGCAATGCTAACAGATTCCAGACTTAAATATTGTTGTTCTGTTCCCCTGTTTTTTTGTTATCTACTGTAGCTTTTTATTGAATGCGATGATGGAGGTGAGCTTGTGTTGATGCAAACCTCCCAACTTTTCTTATGGAAAGTATGCATAATAATAATTGTTAGCACTAAAATACCATGATTTACATAAAAAAGCAGGAAGGGTTGCATTAAAACAGAGTCAACTCTAGCCTCATTTCCAGCTGCAACTGTAAAAAGGGCTACCAGTACTTACTTTAACAAGCACATATGTGAGAGGGGAAATTTGATGCTTATCACTTTCAAGGCTAATAGTATAACTCCTAAAGTCAGGTTATTTCCTTTGTTTAGTTTAACATCACTCCTGAACATGGTACATTTTCTCAGATATTTGACATGCTGTGAATCAATAACAAGGGAGCATTTTTCCATAACTTCCAAAAGAATTAGTGGTTTCCTCAATAAAAGTGTAAATAGTAATGTTTGATTTCCCTATATATTGTTTATTCTTCAATGATGCTGGGCTTGCAAAATATAAGGGGAGGTTGGGGCTGGACTGATCAGTTAATTAATTCATGGAAAAACAATAATTCATTTGCTATTTAATACACATGCATTCCAGTTCACAGTGTAGGTCATACCATATTCCCAAAAGCAGATGACTTACCATTTTTCTAAAAGTTGCTTTGGGTTGAAATTGACGTCTTACTATAATATTAATATATCAGAACAAGACGTGTCTTTCATTGTTTACAATTCCTTATGCTGTACAAAAATTTCACTTTGAAGAATATCAGTATTTCTTTCTTCTTGATGTCTTGATTCTCATAAGATTTTACTGTAAATTTTCAATTAATGCAAGTGTATAAAAATTTCCCTCGAAAACAAATACTACTAAATATAAAGACACAGAGACATAAACTGCTTGGCACAGAGAGAGGTTTATTAAAATGAACGACCGGCTGCCCGAAGGAGACGGAGGAAAAAGAAAACAAACACAACCTCTCTGCCCACCAAAGGGTGGGGGAGGGTGGGTACAATTACAGCATAAACTAGAAGGCGTACGTACAACCCGAACACAAACGAGAATGAAGTTGAAACTCAATCCCTGAAACTTGAGAATAGCATGTACACCATGTGACCCACCCCTGTGTAACTCAGGAAATTAACTATTTTGAGTACCCCAAAATAACACAACTTCCCTCGATAACAAATACTACTAAATTACGGTGTTTGAGGAGTATCACAAATAAAATGTAGTATGTCTGATTCTTTTCTTGTTTTCTTTGATTTTGATATCTTTTCTACGATTAAAAGGAAAAATCCTTTTGGTTTTGATTTTAAATTTGTCGCATTTGATTTCTCAAATAACACTTTTCATTTCCAAAGTTTGTTGCGTTTGATTTCTCAATTGCATTTTTGATTTCTAAAATTTGACGCGTTTGATTTCTGAAATGACACTTTTGATTTCCAAAATTTGTGGCGTCTGATTTCTCAAATGACACTCGAGTTTGAGTTCCAAAATTTCACGATTTCTATTACTAAATGAACGCTTATGTTTTCCAAGTTTGTCGAGTATGCTCTCTGAAATGCGTTTTTGATTATTAATCTTTTCCCAATCGATATCTTAAACAAATGTTTGATTTCCAAAATCAGGTCGTTTGATTTCCCAAATGGCGTTTCTGATTTCTAAAATAGTACAATGAGATAGATATCTACCCACGTGAAAGGTTAAGTGGGTGCAATGCCCCCTCATGGGGAAATAATAGCCTCAACCAGATTGTAGCATCCAGCGTTTTTGGTGAAAACACGGGTCAGTGGGTCGGAATGCTCAGTCTCGCGGGCCCAGTCACAGTTATTTAAGGATTTTTCATTTAAGGCTGGGGACATTCAGTTCTACTGATCATGGGAGAACGAGATAGAGAGGGCATTTTTCGAGGAAGTTGTATCAACCACCCGCCTCACAGATTTGGCGGCTGTGAAAGGTTCGTTTTTGGTGATGGAACATCCAAGTGCAGGACATGCAGCTGCGTTGCACGTTCCCACGTAAGTACCAGGCATTTCATAGGCTGAATTCATGTAGACCGGTACCTCAAATAATTATTCGTCTCTCCTACAAGGGGCTTTAACCAGGTCTTGGAATTTAAACTTATTACTTGGACCGATTCCCTCTTTCGTGCACAGTATGTTCCAAAATCTGAAAAACTGATTTTTTAAAATGTTTTTTCTGTCAGTTTCTTTGGACACTTTTTGTGATCTCACGTATACACCCAGTGTGCAACTCCATTTTTTAGTTATCCCATCCTCTTCAGTCTAAAAACTAAAAAAAAAAACAGGTAATCAGAGCAAGTGATCTGGCAAACAATTAATGGTAGAGGTAGGGTGTCTGTAAGATGAGTAAAATTTAAATGCGAAGCTGTTTGGGGTCGCTCTCAAACACGTGTGTCTGCCAAGTACTTTAAAATGTAATCTGTTGTCAAAATCCCTAAGTCCTACTCATCTTTGGTTAAAATTTTAACTCCAATCTTCAAAACCGCGTCATCGAAGACCTACCATACCCCCCCAAAAATGAAAATCACTACTGAAAAATTTAAACCCAATCTTCAAAACCGCATCATCGAAGACCTACCATACCCCCCAAAAATGAAAATCACTGCGCAAAAATTTAAACCAAATCACATACAAGTCTTGTAATAAAAGTAGTTTAAGAGAGGCACGTGGAGTTTCAAAATTTTGTCACTTTACACCGTCAAAAATTTGCAAGACCCGACACTTGTCCCACTTGATCAATCATTTTAAATAGATTTAGGGACAGATAATTGGATATGTTGTCAGGTGACGGGTAGGCTTAAGCATGGTGATTTTGTTTTAAAGGGTGTTAAAGGGTCTATGTCACGAGGACATTGCTGTTTTAGGCCAATCCTATGCAGTGTATTTACCCTTACACAAAATGCTTCCGTTGACAAATTTATCAAACAATTTTCATTTGGGAACACTGGCCAGAATAATTTTTGGGGTGCTTTTTTTGCAGGCATAGGTTTAAAACTCAAGATAGTCAGCCCACTCACTCATGCCCACCGTTGCCATCTGTTGCAACAGATAGCTTTGGCAGGAAATAATTTCAATGCCTATATAATACCGGAAATCCCCTCAAGTACCTTTGAGGGGGTGATTTAAAAGAGATGGGGCACATACATGTAACAGAAGGGGGTACTTATTGGCGGTGGGGGGGGGGGGGGTAATTTACTGAAGTGGGGCATCATACTACATACTACGCGTTTAGATTTCTTTTTAGGTTTTGTTTTGCTTTTTTTATAGAGTTACGCTAATTCTAGTATAGCTGGAATGTAGAAAAATTAGCTCCACTCCCCATGGCAAGGCAATTTCGTCACTTACATCAAGATAGCTTATCAGGTCATCACTACAAAAAAGAAAAAAAAACACCTCGTGTGAAAACCGGGGGGTTCTCAACAAATTTTTATACCGGGAGGTTCTGCCCCGAGGTCCAATCCCTGATATACCTCTTTTAGTTACCCCTTTTGTGCACCTTCTATTGAGAAATGATACTCCTTGCTGACATACCTTGATTAGAACTTTGCATCCCTTTTAACATATTTTAACTGCTGTAAATGAACTGTCAATTCTGTAGGAATCAATCACAAAACAGAACCATTTTCTCCACTTTATAAAGCCATAAAATTCACCTGTTAGCCCTTCTGGGCATTTTCACGGACCCAAATGACAGATTGCCCTACCCTTTATTAATATACTTCAACTAGTGAAATCCATACCCTTTCATATACCTGAAGTCTGACAAAGATACTCTTTCCGCCGAAGCCTCCCCTTATAGGCCATTATTGGGAGTATCCTCCAGGTGTAGAAAGAACTGGCATAGAGCGTGAACATGTCGTTAACATACGTGGTGTAAACATCATGACAAGATTTTGCCTTCATATTCGGACTAAATCCCATTCCTTGCACATGTCATAATTTTTACTTCGGTTACAGTAGGTAACGTTGTCGTTGTCAAGGAGACAGATCTTTTCTTGATTAATGTTCTCGATACCGTAGCCGCTTACGAAAATGCTGTTGTCATACTCAGGTTGCCTTTGGTCCCTACCTTTGGAACTCCCGAGTGTCTCAGGAGAATGTTGTAATTGTGGATGTGCGCCATCAGAGCATGGAGGTGATTATCTTCTCTTTAAATGTTCTCAAAACATAGCCAAAGTCTTAAAGTGTTAATGATGCTGACAGTTTCGATGACTGTCAGCCATTTTTGTCAAAAATTGGAAATCGTCGAAGGTGTTAATTATTGCGATAAATGCGCCAAGTCACTCTGTAGACGCCTCCGCCCCTGGTTCGGGGTTGGAGATCACTTGTGTCCATATGGGAGAAAGCTGATAGGCTCCCTCGTCCCTGTTCATAGTAGGAGTGTTCGATCTAATACATGTGCTTTCCTAAAATTATCTTCTACAATTGAATTAAAACAACTGCACAAATGTAATTCCACATCTCTCGTTTTATTTTATTTTTAAAAGCTAGTATTATTAAAGAGTATAGTTACTTTTATAATTAGTTTGCTGTTTTTTTTCATATATATTGGATAAATAGTGTAATTGATTAAAGGCAGTATCGTAGTGTATTGTGTATACTAATCCCATGTAGTATAACGTTCAGTAGTAGAAGTTTGTTATTAAAAAGAAAATACAAACTCAAATAAAATAGAGGGAATGTATGAAAGGCTGTGCGCAAAGGTAGCCAGGGTCCCATCTTTACATTTACACGCAACCTTTCACACATTGCCTCTGCTTTATTTGCGCTCGTTAAAAAAACGGAATGTAGAGAGTTTTTGTAAGAATGTTTCCTATAATCTGGTCACTCTTCCAAATCGGTAGCCTGCGAAGCGCAGACGCATTTCTGGTCGTCGCTTCTCTCCCTCCGAAACAGAGGGAGAGAAGCGACGACCGGAAATGCGTCTGCTCTTCGCAGGCTACCAAATTGGATGGAAATAAACTACCATATAAAACATGATAAAAGTTATGTTAGAATTACCACACACTTTTTCTCTCCTTGACGCTTATTTGTTTTTTTTGTTGTTCTGCTTGTCATCAGCTATCACAACGTCAAGCCCCTAGAAAAACGTGGTACTGTGAAAGGTTTTACTTCCCAAATTTAATTTAATTTAGGTCGAACGGTTGCGAGAAGGGCGTGTGTGGAAAAAAGTGCACTCGACAGTCCTGAAGAGGCATTGTGGGTCATTTTGAGAAATTTGAAAGAATGGCACGAGAGGCATTGAAACACTAGAAATGATCGATTAAGCACTGCATCTTTACCGAGGATAATCCATTAAGCGCCGCTGGGCGCGTTAATTTGGGATATTTACAAATTGAAATTGAATTTACTCTTGAACCGAGTTTTTGTAACAGTTCGAGGTTTACTTATAGTATAATAAATTATACTTTCCTATTACGTGCTTCATTTAATTCTCTCTCAGTGTTTTACCCGTTGTTGAAATAGCGCCGCTGTTGTTTAAGGTAAAAGGAAGTAAATGCCCGTTTGCGAGTGCTAAAGGAATGCGGCAACAGAACATTCAACGGGTAACAGTGTCAGGAACAGCGTTTTGATCATATCCCATGAAACTTTTTTTACTTGTCGCTGGCACATTTTCCCAGTGTTTCTCGAAGTAGTTGTATATACCTCACTTTACTGGTTGTAGCGTATGCAGAGAAATTTATTATGCACCGATTTCTATATGTATTTTTGATTGTCATAGCTGCCACTAGAACACAGCTATTGTCGTCTACTTCAACGCCCTCCACAACTTTCACATTCGAAGGTAATTCTAATGTAAATTGTTACTCCCAATGTAATACACTTCATTCATTATTGGAGAGGATAGTATATTTCAGTATATTGCTTTGCTATAGTAATGAATCTAACACGTGTCAATAAAACATAGCTAGAAGTCCATGTTCTCCACACAGATCAATCAAAAAGGACCAACGAGGACGGAAGAAGATGGAAGCACATTCAGCAATTGGCAAAAGCAAAGAGAAACGAGCAGCTTGATGCGAATCCACCAAAGTGACAATGACGCAAGCCAGGTGGTGGTCGTGGTGGACCAAGGCCAGATTCTGGTCGGAAAAAAAGCATCCCTAAAGTGAGTTATTGGGTTTGAAAAAGTTTAAGAACTTTCCCTTTAATGATGGTAGTGAGTGGAGTGGTCTAATTGGAGACGATGAAAAGACCATGTGTGTGTTGTCTAATGCGTTCCATTTTTCAAATTATATGTGGTTAGGTGTCCTCACGAGCTTTCATCAGTTCATGCGGCTGAAACAGATAGGCAGGCCTGGACCTATTTATCCTTTCTTCCCTGCCGCTTTCGCCAAATTTGAGGTTTGATTGAGATGTTCATTTTGCCTCTGACATGCTTTCAACCAAGGTTTGGCATACTGTAATATAACCATTTGTATTTTGAGGCGTCAAGAGTAAAATTCTACACAAGTCTTTTTAAAATGCTATTTGGGGAAATTAAAATTTACCTTTACAGGAAATGACAGCGACCCCTGTAAAACTTGTATCCCGTCATTTAGGCAAGTACCAGGCGAATGGACCCAAAGAATTTGTGAGCAGTCGAAAAATGTTAGCCGCATATTACTATTGTTCGCTTTATGGGCATAAGGAAGCATTTACTTGGAACATTGTACAAATGATGCATACCACGTATAGTCATCTCTAATCATTCAGCGTTTAATTATTATACTATACACTATTGGGTACATAATAATTTTATAAAATAGAGGTAATCATTGATTACTGATCCTCGTTCGTCAACCTAGTCGAAAAGAAACCAGTTTCCAAGCTGAGGTGCCCCTGATAAAATCAGGGTGGGCGGCTAATCGGCAGTTGCTCCCGATACCTCAACAATCTGCAGCTTTGTACCACAGGAACACCAAGATTAGGATGTGTTGTGACGAACACAAATAGAAAACATATAGTCTCGAGTTCATCTATCGTGCACACACCAAGTGATAACGATAGACAAGATGACCCACTAACACAATAGGTGCATGGTATGGACTGACTTGCGTTGTAAACCACTCTTGTGCCGTGTGATAGCTTTTAAACATATAAAGGTATTGATCCGCACTTTGCAGGTATCTCTGAGCGGTGTGGACACTGGCACATCTGAAGGGCTGACTCTCCAGACCCTGGAGAATTTCATGCTTGGGCACTTCTTGGGTCTTACAAGAGAGCAGGCTGTCGATCGCTACCAGTTTTACATTCTCAAGACGCTTCGGGGACCAAAACTGACTATGGATAGTCATGTCACGGGGAAACAGTTTTATTTCTACTGGAAAGCTGGAGTGGAAATGGTAAAAAGGCGATTCGCTTGGTATATTTTCATTTTATTCAAGTTCTTCTCTAGGGAAATCGATCCAGAAAAGTGCGAGTTATCTGTAGTTGAAAGCAAGTGACTGAAAATAAGGAAATAAATAAATGGGATGGGGCGGGAAACGCAAGTATCATGCACATTTCACTTCAAGAGCAACAACAACAACAAAACTTTATTAATAAATAAATAAAATTACAGAAGTATTGCCAGTAGCTAGTGAGGCTTTTCGAGGCTGGAAAAGGAAAGTCTACAGTTTACAAATAAATAAAATAAAAATCGTAATATGAAGGAGGACTAGATAGCAGATTAAAAAAACAAAAAAGAATTAATCTAATTAGTTGTAAAAGTAGAAACTAATAGGCAAGAATTTATTTTGCGACATTTTTGGCTACTTTACCTTTTTAATTAAGGTGGGCGTATCATAGCCAGTTTGGTGCTGCGCTTGCGACATGTCATCAGTGACTGGAATTTCTTCAGTTGATTCTTTAGATCTTGGATTTCTTTTCGTAACGCTTGCTTTTCTTTCCTTACTTCCTCAGTTCTGCTCATAGTTAAGAAAAAGTTCAAAGATTTAGAAGAAATTTAATAAGAAACCAGAGTGATCGAGAAAAGGTTCGACCGTGAGTAGGTTCTCTGTACCAGTCTCCCAGAGCAGCAACAGATATATTGATGAGAAATAAATAGAGTGACAACGCTTTTTCAATATAAAATGGTAATCCAGGGTAAAATCATATATAGACGAGCCGAAGGGAGAAAAAACGGGTTTGAGGTATCGTCAGTCGACTGTGTTGTTGACTAGCTAGGATTCGATTAACAGTAAAAGTTTTTTGGCAAAACTAGGACATCTTTATGACAATGCGCTGAGACACTAGACTCTTAATTCAATTTTAACTACAAACAGTTAATATTATTGGAGACAAAGCATGTGACAAAAAGTGTCATTTGTTTCAGGACTCATCTGACAAGGAGGAAGCGATGCGCGATAGCCTGGATCCACTTCCAGAGCTGGGATCGGAGCCATCCTCGTTACCAGTCAGGCCTTTCGCTGTGATCAACCTGGGAAAGTCGATCGCACTACCGCCAGTCAGGCAAACTGGTAGGAAAAGCAAAATTGTCATATTTGGAAATGATACTCAACAACCAGAAAAGTAGGGAAAAAAGAAAAGGCTTAGAATACAGGCCCGACTTAATTGCCTTGTCCTATTTCTTAAATAATATAATTAATAATTATTATATATCACTTATGCCCTTTTTTTTTGGAATTTTGTAAACTTTTCGTTAATACTTCTTTTTTCAAGGGTCTTCCTTTCCCTGGAATGATTGAACGGTGTCCTCCAGGTCTGGAATCAGTTCCCACCCTAAGTGCAAATTGTTAACTTGCGTCAAGATGCTTTTGTCAAAGGATCAGTCTGTAATTTGATTTTTTTCTCCTGCACATTGTAGAATTACCAGCGGCAATTACATTGTTCACGATCACCAGTGATTGGGGCTCCATAGAGACCGAAGGACCACTTCACTGCGTTCTAGATGTGCAAGGATTTCCAGCCCAGCCATTTGGATCTGGAACTTTTCAGAACGCTTTTAAGGCTACCTGTATCGTACCTAATAAATTTTTAGATTTGTCAGGAAGATACGTGTTAAAACAACAAAAACTTGAAGGTCCTTTGACGACTGAAGCGGTTGAAGGTTTATCATCTGAGGACATGGACCTAATGGACGAGGAGAGCAGTAGCATGCTATCTTTCAATGAATAGGTATATTACACGGACAACGGTGTCCACTGAAAGAATACTTTAAAGTCCAGTCGGGAACATGGTTTGATCAGTGATTGAGTTTGGAGCAAGTTTAAAATCATCCCCGCCTTTTTAATGAGAAGGCTTACAGTTTGGCACTCAGTTAACCTTCTATTCTATCTTTGTCATATTCAATTCCCAGGGCTGTCAGATTTCAGCTGTTGCTAATGCCCTTTGCCAACACTACAATTTGAAGTGCAGGCAGATACCTGATTACGGCAAAGAAATAAGGTAAGGAGAAAATGTCTTTGTCAGGGGTTCAGACAGCTTTGGTATAGGCTTGCAGAAATGAAATCTGTACATAGAAAAGATTCTTAGACGCAGTAGGGATCAGAGAAGCTGGTACTAGAAAGCAGGCAATAACGAATCGTGAAGGTGGTGGTGGGGCCTCTTCCCAAAGAGACATTTCAGAGATATTTAATCTTCAAATAATCATGCATTTTTGGAGAGTCCAGTTACAGCAGTTTGTACCTCCGATGGGCATAGATCTGGCATAGCCTATACCTATAGTTTGGCTAGGACCCTTCATTCAGTTTTTGGGAGTGTTGTGAATTCTTTCTCTCTTTTTTACGTATAACCATCCTTATTCTGGCGAGATGAATTAAAATTTGTTCTAGTTTGTTTATAATTTTGCAAATACGCAATTTTAAGCTCTGTGTTGTGAATACCCCTTTCATATTATCTTAGGGTATTACCATCACTATTTGTAAAGATGACTGGACAGTTTCCTCCTTGTGGGATTTTGGAACACGAAATAGAGGGAACTTGGCAAAAATTCCTAAACAATGACGGACTGGAGATGGGTGGCGAGGAGAACCAGTTCAAACTGAAGGCACTGGCGCTCGCACATGGCGGACTTCTCGTTTGTGACCTACAGGGTAAGTTGAAATTTCCCCGCTTTCAAGAGAACCAGTTCCAACACAGCAACTGATTCACTTCTAAACAATCGACAGAGACCAATTAAAGGAGACAGCTTCAAGCAGTTAATCAAGTTTAGTACAGTATTTCGCGAGGAGTAATCCAGAAGTACTAATTAAATTGGCCAATGCTTGCCATTTCAACAATTTAGTCCACATAAATGTGTGCTTGTTAGGATATCTCGCTTACCATGTAACCGCAAGACCTTCCATACTGACTGCTCCCAAACACTTTTAAAACCTCTTTAGGAGCCAACTACACTTTGTTCGATCTGGAGATCGCTTCTACAGACGGGAGGTTCGTATGACTGATAAAATGAGACAGTAATACCTTTAGTTACAGTATTAGAGAGACTTCACTGAAAAATTGCAAAATCCTTCACCCCAATGAAATTAAGGGAATAGAATAATATATTATTAATTAACGTTCTACTGGCAGAGTATTACAGAAAAGAGAAAAGTTCACACTTAAGAAGAGATACCCGTAAGCTATTTGTTTAACTATTTATGTGCCTTTTATTGGCGAGTCCTGACAATTTTTATTAGGCTGTGAGACTAGTAGATGTCTAAGGTACACAGAGTTTAGATGTTGTCGCTTTTTGTTGTTGTAAGCTCTTATTACAATATCATATTGACGACGACTATGGCTGTTACCCATACATACATATACATGTGCAAATGTTACGATCAGTGATTTTTAATATCAGTTTACTGCAAATATATTTCATTGCAGGATATTCGTGATTGGCAATCTTTCCTGTACTGTGCTTGAGGGATTCAAGTCAAGCCACCGATGTAATGTGTATTGCATTGCATTGGAGTTGCCTGGTGAGTACATGCATGCTTCTTTTTAAACTGGATCGAATCTTCCCATTGTTTATTCTTACGAGACGAACGGTCCATGAAATGCACTCAAAACTTAGACAAGTTAAATAACTTACGTCTTTAAGTTTTTTAAATTGTTTTCCATAATGAGGGGAAAAAACAAAATCAGCCTTGGCTGAAAAAGATATTTAAAGATCCGCTAATTATATCCTACAAGAGACATGCTCGTTAGGGCAAAAATATAAGGCAGCATTCATAACAATGACCACACCATAACGCAGTGGGTCGTGCAGGCCTGTCATTGATTATTATCACATGCTTGTTAGGAAATGTCACAATTTTTCTTGCTCTTTTTGTTTTAAGCTTAAGCTTCAATGCATGCATGAATGCATATCGATCGTTTCTTACGTCCCGGGGGGAGGGGGGTTTCGGAGGGGGTGTACAATTTTCTAAGAGGCTTGATTTTTGTTGTTATCAAGCGGATTCTTTTAGATCTTGAAAAACCCTTTTTGCCTCTGAGAAACCATGTCACCTAAGAAGAATTGCAAGTGACGAGGACGAACACAAAGTTGTTCCAGTGGATTGTGTCCTGGAAAAAATCTTATATCTTTCAGGAAATCCAAGCCACACATGTGTATCAACAGCTCCAAATTTTTGTGGCCATTGTCGCTGAGTGGTCGCTGTAGATTAGTAATTTTTGAATATTTAATTCAGTAGGCAACTCAAAGGTTATGATAGTAAATGTTAAAAGTGTCTGCTCCTAGACAACCAGGTGAATGTCAGTTAATAATTTTATAGGGAATATATTCATACGTATACATATAACTTTTATGATCTAAAAACGATGAATTGAAATCTTACTACTGTAATAAATCAAGGCAAGAGTCGTCGTAATAGTCTCGACCGTGTTTACTCAAACTTTACTCTTTTCCTGACCACGAGGTCCTAGCCCTAGTTTTACATCATGTAATACGACACGAAGTGTCCTCTACTCTACACTATCCCCTCTCTAATTTAAAGGGTGAGTCTCCGGATTCACGGACAACACTTGAAAGTGTAACAGTGTCAAGGTAACCAGTCCAGTTCACAAGCAAAGGAAAGAAAACTAATACAAAAAAAACTGTCCATAACAAATCATAGTCTCAATATCCTCTTAGTGCTCGAGCCTTCTTTAACAATTTCGGTCTCAGTTTCTTAATCCGATCTTTTTCCATGGTCTGCTTGTCCTCCAGCATTTGTACGCGATCTACAATTTGCTGTAGACTACTGATAACCCACTCTCCATAACGGTCTGGGGGTCTTCTCACTCACACCGGTCTTCGATTCTGGAGAGTAGGCTCCGGTTCCAGTCCTTCACCTTCATGTTCACTCCCTCCTCGCCACTGAGGTCAGGTGGGTCAGATTGAGTTGGTTTGCTTGTAGCATCTAGGGTATCTACAAGGGGGCCACCGTCCTTAGTGTCTGGCGCTTCCACTGAAGGATCACTTCTAACATCAATCATCAATCTGGTGAAGCTTGCTGGCCCATTTGTCAAACCAAATGGCATAACCCTCCATTGAAATTGCCCACGATGAGTTGAAAACGCAGTTTTGGGTTTGTCCTCCTCCTTCACTGGCATCTGCCAATATCCAGAGGCCAAATCAAGGCACGAGAACCACTGAGCACCGCCCAGGGCCTCTAAGACATCATCAGTCCTAGGCAGCGAGATAGCATCTTCTTGTGTGTACTGGTTAAGTCTCCGAAAGTCAATACACATACGGTAAGTTCCATCATGTTTCCGGGCCAACACAACGGGGCTACTCCAGGGACTTTGGGACTGTTCAACCCTACCATTAGCTACCAGCTCATCCAGCTGTTGGTCAATGATTTCTCTTTGGTGAGGGGAATACTGTTGTGGCGGTTGCTTAATTGGTGTACAATCACCCGTATTAATTTCATGTTCCATGAGATCAGATTTCCCTAAATCCGAACTGTTCATAGCAAAAATGTCCTCATACTCTTTCACCAGAGACGAGAATTGTTCCTTTTGACCTTCTGAAAGCCCTTCCATGTTTTGTTGTTCACAGATTGTCCTCGACTTTTCTCCCTCTCCTTTTGTCTGCTCACTCTTCCCCACTGTGCTGTCAATGGTCGAACAGAATGCATGTGGCCGAGAGGTACTTTTCGATTCTGAGTCAACTCCAATGGGAATTATACTACCATTCACGCTGCTAATAGGGTGATATTCGGCAATAGGAACATCTGACCGTATCTTGATTGGTCTATCCGAGAAGTTGGCAACTCGAACAAGGGCCTGTCCCGCCCTTGGAACCACAAGGGAACGAGCTATGCAAATTTCCGATTTTCCCTTTAGTTCCTTTGAGCCCTCCAAGATCCCAGGGCTTCCCGTATTTTGTTCATATCCCTCTTCCAATCTAGTTCCTAGCACTTGTTCAGTCCCCGGCTCTACTTCTACTTCAGCACACAGATAAAGTCTACAAACACTAGGTGTGACCTTGCAGTGTCTAATAGGAATTTCAGCATCTCCTACCACAAAGGTTCCCGTGTCATAGTGAATTTGACATCCATACTGCTGAAAAAAGTCTGAACCAAGAAAACAATCATGTGCTAGACCTTGCCCAATCATGACAGGCCAGGAGCAATCCATGTTTCCTATGCGAAATCTCACTTGGGTTTCTCCTAAGACAGTCAGTTCATTGCCATTTGCTGTCGTTAATGTTCCTATCACTGGTTTAAGTTTAGAAACATATCCACTTTTCTTCCATGTGTCCTCGCTCAATATACTAACCGTAGCGCCAGTGTCCAACAATACACAAGTTAAACAATGATTCACAAGTCCAGTAATATAAATCCTGGAATCAGATATGGCTGAAATTACACTGTCATTCGCGGTTGTATTGTAATTTACCTCACGGACATCACTGTCTGACAGGGCCACACGTACTGGTCCTACGGGGACTGTCTGGCCCTTGGCAGGCCCCGAGCTCCGTTTCCCGTTGTATTAGTCAGACAATCACGTGCAAAATGACCCTGTTTACGACAATTGTAACAGACTACTTCGTTTCAGCGCCGTGGGGCTGTCACGTTTTTTGCTTCCGTTTTCATTTCCAGCTCACGAATTTTCTCATTCATGCCAAGAACTAATTCCTTGAGCTCGCGTATTTCAGATGAAATCTTCTCACTATCAGCCGAGGCACCAATCACATTAACAGATTTCTTCTTCTCAACCGCAGGAGCTGCTGCGCGACAAGCCTTCTGAGCACTTTCCAACTGGCGAACCACATGCACAGCTTCCACGGCGAACTCGGCTGGCTCATAAAAACTCTCTCACGAATGTCATCACTAATTGCTACACCTTGAAGAAACTGGTCCCTTGCCAGTTCCACTTTAAACGAATAGGCCGCCTCTGGAGTGCGCATTTTCGACCAATTCCATCAAGCTATCCGCAAATCCATCGAAATCTTCATTTGGCTTTTGGCATCGTGCCCGCAACTGCAATTTGTAATCTTCTTTCGTCTTCGCCGAATCAAATCTTCGAGTCAACTGATCAGTAAATTCTTGACGGTAGCGATTCCGAGAGCTTGAGCAGCTCAACAGCTTTGTAGGCGGTTGGTCCAATAATGTAAGCAAATACGCTCGGCGATCCACGGTTTGATGTGCACGAGACTAACGTATTGCATGAACTGCGAGAGCCACGTTTTGAAAATTTTTGGCCCACCGAATAAACGCGTGGAGCTCTTCGTTCCTCCTAACCCGCTTTGTTATTTCGGCGCCACCATACTCTGCTTTAGAGCTTGAGACAGGGTATTTACGAGCTGCTGCAGGTCACTGCCCCCTTCGTGTGGCTCTACTTTCGGTGGTTTCTTCTTTTGTTGTTGTTTCAGCACGGGTTCTGTCGATTCAAGTTTCGGTAACCCTCCTTCGGCGCCTGCGGACATTTCATCTAGTTTCGGTAACCCGCCTTCGGCTCCTGCTGGAGTTCCATCTTCTTCCATCTTTATATCCCACCGCTGCCACCAATGTAATAAATCAAGGCAAGAGTCGTTGTAATAGTCTCGACCGTGTTTACTCAAACTTTACTCTTTTCCTGACCACGAGGTCCTAGCCCTAGTTTTACATCATGTAATACGACACGAAGTGTCCTCTACTCTACACTACTATAGATCATTAAAGTCACTATTCCTCTCAGAGTTGAGCGCTGTCCATAATTTATTCTATTCAAGTTCAAGAAGTATACATATAATTACATATTTTATTTGACAATGTGTGGTAATAGTTGCCACATTACAGCATGTTGCAACTTGATAATATATTGATTACAGTGTAACATCTGCCAGTGGAATTTAGATTTTTAGATGTTCGTGGATTCTAATTTTTGAACTGTTCAAAATTGGCAGGCAAAATTGCAGTGTTTGATTGGCAAAGGGAAGCCAGTTTTGGTTGAAAAATAAATAAATAAGGAGTCAAGAGGATTAAGGATTTGAGAAATCAGGATTCTCCTACACTGTACTTTCAATTGTAGCTTAACATATGAAGGGACTCTTATCAGCAATGCCTAATTTTTTCTTGGAAAATGGTAAAAGGTCTAGAAAATTGCAAAAAGCTGGAAATTTAAGTGTATTCCTGACCATGGGTATTTAGATTACAGTTTTTCCAGTTTTCTGCAAAAAGAAAAAAACGAGAAAAAGTTGTCAATTTCTAGTATCTTAACAACAGATACAAGTTTCTCCAGCTATTTCCAGCTTTTGAAAGAATTTAAAGCTTGCAAAACCCAGAAAAAATGTTTCTGGAATAAAACAGGGAATTTAATTTTAGAAAAAATCTGTAAATTTCCAGACGTTGACAGAAAGCGAGAAATGCCGATTTGCTAACATTAGCAGGGTTCGCACGCGCCTTGAAAGTCCTTGAAAGTCCTTGAATCTCAAAATAAAAATTCAAGGCCTTGAAAGTCCTTGAAAATTGTAGTCAGTGCTGGAAAGTCCTTGAAATTTGTAGCTAATTTAATCCAACTTAGATTCTAGAGTGCCTTATTTGAAAATATATGCCACTGGCACAAACGTAGCAACACATAATAGTAAGATACAAATAAAAAACGATCATAACGCCACTCCGCACGTCGATCAATCGCCCATATCCATTTGTCCTGTTCTTGGTTTTATTCATCGCTCTGATTGGTTGAATGTCTGGAATGTTAAGGGCCAATGAAATGTTTTGTACTATTCGCTCTCTCTGTGAAAAGCCATGTGCGTCGATTGCTTCCTTGTTTGGGTTGGTGTTGATTGTTTGTGTTTTGTTTCACGAGTGAAAGATTTAAAACAATGGGCAAGTGTGTTTTCAGCAACTTGTGGCTTCAGAAATCACTGTATAAAGATTGGCTACGAGAAGTCAAGGGTGACAAGCACAAGGCACGATGCATCGTGTTTATGAAGGATGTTGACATTTCGAGCATGGGAGAGTCAGCGTTCACAAGTCACTTGAAAGGAAAAAAACATCAAACACTGACATCTCAGAAAAGGTCATTAGCAAGCGTTCCAGATTTTTTGGGGGTTTCTTCTCAACAACCAGCAACTACAAGTGACGATGCCAAAGAAGTTTCAAAATCCGCTTCGTCTGAAAGTGGCGAACACAACACGCTCAACCCCACAAAGTCTAGTACTGCGAGTTCATCTGGTTCATCGGTGATGGAAAGAATTGTCACTCGTGATGAGACGTTGAAAGCAGAAACTTTGTGGGCATTGAAGGTGATAATGTCTCATTACTCCTATAAATCATGCGAAGGTACGAGCAAATTGTTTCAAGCGATGTTTCCTGACAGTCGGATCGCGAGTCAGTTTACATGCGGAGAAAAGAAATGTGCATATTTGATCTGTTTTGGGCTCGCTCCACACTTCAAACAACTTTTGAAGGACGTTGTGAAAAAAGAAGAAGCTTATGTACTTATGTTTGACGAGAGCCTGAATAGCGTGTGCCAGTCAAAGCAAATGGATATTCACATTCGTTCATGGAATCATGACAAACACGAAGTTGAAAGTCGCTATGATACCTCAGTGTTTATGGGGCATGGAACAGCAGAGGACATGCTTTCTCATTTTCGTTCAGGCATAGCAGAAATTCCTCTCAAAAAAGTTTATCAGGTGGGATGCAACTCTCGTTATGTTTGGGTAATTTATATAAACATAACAAACAAAAGATAAACATGGTCATCTCTTCGCTGATGACATTACCTCCTAGGTTTCCTAATTATAAATACATGTACTGTTACTAGTGTGGTGCAAATCGCCGTTACGTCCTGAAAACAAATGTTTTGTGTAATGCCAAAAAGCGATAAAATTGTATTAAATAGAAATGAAACACCTTACTTAGTTTTCTGCCCTTTAAGGTCTAAATAATGAACACTCTTACATTGCAAATCTTCACAATTCCAATGCATCCATGAGTAGTTCACTTCGTGTCTAGGTGGACAATGACACGAACTCTGGGACGTAATGCAAGTACTAAATTAAATAATCTGTTTCCCTTTCAATATTACAAGGAATGTTTTCTCTCATACTAGTTGTCAATGGATGGACCCAACGTTAATTGGAAATTTTACAGTATGCTGACTGATGAGGCAAAAAGGGAGCATAATAGTCACATGCTGAACATTGGCAGCTGTGGTTTACACATTCTTCATGGAGCATTCAAGGATGGTGCTGTGGCATCAGGATGGCAGTTAGACAGGTTGTTCTCTAGCCTTCACTGGCTTTTTCAGGACAGTCCGGCAAGGAGAGAGGACTACACCAAAGTAACAGGAAGCTCACTGTTTGCTTTGAAGTTCTGCAAACATAGGTGGTTGGAGAATGTCTTGGCTGCAGAACGTACACAGAGTATGTGGGACAGTGTTGTCAAGTATGTTCAGAGTGCAAGGGCAGGAAAAGTTCCACAGCCACAGAATAAATCCTTTGACACTGTACAAGAGTTTGTTGCAGATCCCTTTACGACTGCAAAAGTCGCCTTCTACCTATCAGTAGCCAAGCAAGTGACACCGTTTTTGACACTCTATCAAACCGACAAGCCTATGCTTCCTTTCCTGGCTACAGACCTGTACAGCATGCTTGGGGGATTAATGAGAAGATTTATTAAGACCACTGTTATCAGTGAAGCCAAAACCCATTGAAGCTTACAAAACTTGACCCTGCTGACTCCAGCATTCATGCCTCTCATTCCAAGATTGACCTGGGGTTTACAGCTGACAAGAAGATCAAGGAGTTGATTGCAAAGGCCACAGTTTCAGAGAAAAGAGTGCTTCAGTTTCAGATGGAATGCAAGGAGTTCCTTATGAAAGTAGTTTGCAAACTGATTGCCAAAGCACCAATTCAGTATTCCCTTGTAAGGAATATAAATTGCTTAGATCCAAGGAACATGATGAGTGACCATGATGTTTCCATCACAAAATTCAAGAGAGTTTTGACTACCCTTGAAAATGCCAAGAAAGTCCTGGAAGGTGAATGTGATTCCCTTTTGGAACTATCTAGACAATTCATTATGGAAGCCCCCTCTTCTTCTCCGTCGGAGTTCAAAGACTATGATCCTAACAATGATAGACTTGATTCCTTTCTGTATCTTCACATGGGACAGAAGCGATCCTACCAATCATTGTGGAAAGTAGTCTCAGAGCTACTGATATTATCACATGGCCAGGCCAGTGTCGAAAGAGGATTCTCAGTCAATAAGCTACTGGAAGTCGAGAACCTCCAAGAGCGCTCCTTCATTGCACAAAGGCTGGTACAAGATCATGTACAATCTGTGGGAGGTGTCCTTGCTGTTTCAATCGACAAACCACTTCTTTTGTCAGCTGCAGGAGCTAGGCAGAAGTATTTATCATATCTTGATGAACAAAAGAGGAAGAAAACCTCTGAGGGTGTAGAACTGAAGCGAAAGGAGCTAGTCGATGAACTTGAGGAACTTAAAAAGAAAAGAAGGCGTTTAGACACTGATGTTGACAATCTTGTTAAATCAGCAGACGAGTTTGCACAGAAAGCAGAGGACACTGGGGAAACTTGTGTGGATTACAAAGTCAAATAGTTTGAGGAGAACTGCAAAAGAAAAGGAGATGGCTCGCAAAGACCTTGAGTGCAAAATTGCGAATGTTGTGGATGAACTAAAAAAGGCATAGACTTTAAGCTCGACTTAAGCTCGGCACAATTGCTACTATAAGGTGAACATCCTTTTATTTTGCAGTTGGTGGAGTCCTTGAAAAATGGAAAATATGTCCTTGAAAAGTCCTTGAAAAGTCCTTGAATTTTTAGTCCAAAAAAGGGTACGAACCCTGCATTAGGCAGGTCATGATGAAGAGAAGACGAGGGGTGAAATGTCCCTTTCTTAATAGGTTCATAAGTCTCGCCATAGATAAGGATGAGGGAAGCTTTGTGGTGATGGAAGATATCTTTGCAGAGTATACTACAGCTGTTGTGTTGTGGACTGAAGGTGACAGCGTTCACAGACAAACCAAATATTTAATGAAGAAGAGGTCTTACTACAAGGCAAGTGCTAAAATCACTTAGAATTATATACAGATTTTTTTTTTAAGACTCCTGGAAAAGTAAAAAAAATTCATACAGGACTCATTGAGTAGCTTAGCTTACGGACTTCAAAGTTAGCCACATATAGAGATGAATGTGAACGATAGATATATACAGAGATTTAGAGTCATGTTTACAGCAAAATGTAAATATTTAATAGTGGATAAAACAGCTCAAATTACCGCGCTTTTCAAAAACACAACAACTCTTAAGTTAAAAAGCCGCCTTCAGAATTGTTTTTCGTCATAGTTACGATCACAAGCAACGAATCTGGCAACACAGAAAACACAACACAACACAGAAACACACAAAAGGGATCGAAATCCACCAATCACAGATCACAAACCATGACCTTTTGAACCCGTTTAAGTAAAGTTGTTTCCTAACAGGTCCGCTAAGATGATTGATGGCAGCGAAAAACTCAAACATCGGTTGACTTTTTAACTCCATATACGTGTTTTTGAAAAGGGCAGTAAATGCTTTGGATAAAAACAACTTGAAACAACTAATCTTTCAGTAGATGTAATGAACAGTAAAGTTCACTAATTGGGTCACGTGACTAGCACTGTGGTGCAAGCGCAGAGGCCATAAGTACAAATCCCGTCAAAGTCCCGATTTTTTTGGGGGGGGGTTAATTTACAAAGGCTTATAGTGCAATTACTACTGTGACAATCATATCTTTATTAAAAAAAAAGAACTTCGCTTTTGCCGTATTAAAATTAGACTCTAAATCTCCCTTATGGGTTGCATAATCAATGGAAACTGTTTTCGTTTTTAGTAGTAAAAACCAAGTTTAATAAAAGCTGTTAACTATTTTTTAATAGCAATTTAAGAAAACAGAAGCATATAACCCCGAAGAAATGAAATGGATGAGTAACAGTCGAGAGGTGCTGTCTAAGATACCTGAAGCGGATAGTGCGAAGCCAACTCTAGATTTAGATCTTGAGAACCTCCTTGTAGAAAGGACACTAGGTGTGCAGTGGGATGTGGAGAAAGATGCTTTCTTATTCAAGGTTCGTGAACCCCACCAACCACCTACTAAACGTGGCATTCTGTCAGCAGTAAGCTCACTGTATGATCCCATGGAATTTGTTTGCCTGGTTGTCCTGGAAGCTAAGAAGATTTTGCAAAGACTGTGGAAGCTAAATCTGGGATGGGACGATACCTGAAGAGGAAGTGCAAGTTGGCTGTCTCGTCACAAGTTCAAGTACTGCGATGTCACCTGATCGACAGCACAGTAGTCGACATATCCCTCCATTTATTTTCTGATTCCTCAGAAGATGGCTACGGCATGTGTTCGAAAGCAAGCAATGTATCAGATATGAACGAAAGTAACGAAGTCAGCAAAGATTCTGAAGATGACTGGGGAGTTGTGGACTCCAAAATTTTGCCCTACCAAGATGAACCGCTAGCGGCTGAAGAGGAAGCACTTGATTTCGACGACTCTGAAAGAGACGTTGATGGTCTTACTCCCTCGACTTTGGCAGAAAGATATGAACGAACAGTTTGTTTGGAATCTTGGTAAGTGAATTCATTCAGCTCCAACTTCCATTTCATCCTGAAAGATCTCCAACCAAACGTACAGTCTGGGGCAAAGAAAAAGAAAAACAAGCTTGACATGGCCGTTCAACTTGATTTTGTTTGGCAGGTGTCGCTGTCAACATTGCAGAACAGAATTATTAGTTGGATCAATAGAATTTCGCTGTTGCCGAGAAGTAACCAGCACGTCAGGGAAAATGGTTTTTGATGGCTCGATTGAGAAAATAAGCTGTATAACACAACACGAGGATTGTGACGCCATAACTAACGAGCAGTTCTTGTTCAAGTGGCACCTTTACTGAGGATCAAGGATGGGAGGACGTATCACTGTCGTGGAGGAGTCAATACCCGCTATTTTGTCTATGGAACATCTCACAAATTTCTTTCTTAGGTCCATCACATCTCGTGTCAAACAAGCAATATTATAAGAGGGGTCTCTAACAATGTGATTCTCTTGAACTGTTTTAGGTTTATTCATTCCGTTGCCTACAGATGGACTATACAATGGCTGCGTGGCTTCTTGGGTTGGGACAACAGCAGGCCATTGCCAGCCTGTGATTACCACAGCATAAGAAAAAAATGTCCTTTGCGCCAGTCCACTGGATATTCCACTTCCCAGGACAGAGAAACTTGATGATACATGTAGACCATGTTATCCATTTTCCCAAAATTGTTAATTGTAATTGTAATTGTTTTTGTTTAATTTTGCAACATTTAAACATGTAACAAACAGTAAAGTGTGTGGTTTGTTTCTTACAGCAGTTTCTAGCATTAGAAAATTTTTGTTAGTGCAATGATATACAGCAAGTGGTGGTACTTGTAAGAAAAGAAAATACCCCGCACTAAGCATCAGCTAGGGCAGACATTACTAGTCTTTAACTGTGAAAAGTCATTCTAAAACAAAGGAAATGATAAGGCCTTTGGTCTATTGAAAACTGGGCCCCCAAAAAAATGGAGGGCTGAAAAGCCATCTTTAATTACCCATATCTGAAACACGAGGTATTGTATATACTTGTGAAAATTGGCATGAAGGGAAACTTTTTTCCTCTGAAAATTATGCGAAAAGGACAGCTCGGCTCCGAAAACTTTTCAGGACCTTCGAGAAACGGGCCCCTGGCCCCAGTTGCTCAGTAGCACATAAATCACTATACAGCAGATTAGTACTAGTGAAACCAATTGCATTATTGTGTGGATAGAGATTTGACCACAGCACTATTCATCATTTGAACAACTGGGGCCTTGTGCACATGCCTATGTATAGTGTCACCTAGGCCTGTTCTGAAATATTGTAATCCTAATGGGATTCTGGGCTTAAATATTTGAGGTGAGCCAGCCCTGTAAGCCATGCTGACCTGCCTTATTTAAAATGTTTCTTGAAAGCAATGTTTATTTGTTTGCACTTGTACATAGAGCTTCATTATGTCTTGCATCGCCCTTTATGTCCACGCATTGGTTTCTTGCAAACCGAACAAGTAGGAGGTTTTCTAGTACTGCTTTTACTGCATGTTTGGCTGTGTTGACTGCTTGATTGAAGGGAGGACTGTTCTGCCCCGGTCAAACACAAGAATATTGCACAGGAGTTTTATTATCTGAATTAATTTCATTAATTCATTTCACAGGGTAGAAAGTGAACCTTACATCAAATTTCACAACTACTGACTAATGTCTGAAGATTAGGTGTTTTAATAGGCTTACATGGATTCTCTGTGGATGGTTGTTTATGAAGCCATCAATAGAAAAGAAAAATCTAACTCAAGAGTGTCACCGGTATAATTGCATATTATTTTGTCTTAAAATAGAATAAAAGAGTAATTAACCTGAAGGAACAACTGTTGTTTTACTCATTTGTTGTCTGGCTCTGTAATCCTTACCAGCTTCCTCTTTGCTCTTTCTCTCCAGAAACTGCCTATTTAGAGGTTCTGGTTGCTTCAATGAATATTTTTCTAGAACTTCTTTTCTTTCAGCATCTGTTAGGCTGAAGAGCAGTTTCTTCATGGTGTCTACATAATCTGTACAAACAGAACAACACTTCACTAACTGACAGACTGATGATAAAAATATCATTAGTATCAGGGCACTTGCCAAATGGAATTGAAATTCCCTGGTCTTTTTTTGTCTGGAACTCACACCATACCATAAACTGCTGCTTATAAGCCCTAGGCTTATACATCTCCATAGGAGATTTTAGGAGGGCTTATATTCAGGGATAGGGGAGGGGGTGAAGGCCTGTAACCAGGATAGGAAAAGCGCCTTGAAAAAATATATATTTCGCTATTTTTGGCTCAGCAGTGCTGAGCAAAATACTTTTTGCCTTTATTCCTTTTCAATTTAGCTTCAACTCATCAATAAATCAAATTTATTTACAGAAACAGAAAAAATAAACTACTATATTATGTAATGTCTATTTAGAGAAAGGCAGTTCCAACTTTGTCTAACAAATGACCATAACAAAGGACTTGGCACTGTAAATCACTTGTCTTGGCATGAAGAACAATAAAAAAACTCTTCAATAGCTGGTTATAATTTAATAAATTTTTAGTCAAGTGCAAAATTGTGCCTATCTCATGTTGGTTTACCATAACTTGGAAGGGATGCAACTTCACGGACGACCTCCTCTCCCAACTTGAATTTTGGATAGGTGACACGCATGTAAGGTTTCCCATCCTTGGATACACTTTGTTTCTCTTCTTAAGAGCGAATGCACAGAAAAATCGAGCAAAATCGGCAAATCGTGGCCACAGCTAAAAACCTAACTTACCCTCATTTTCAGTCTGTAATAAGGTTTTAATGAGTTTATAACACTGCTGAGGTTTAAATTTCAAAATGCGGCCAAGTTTGGGAATTATTTAAGATTTTCGATTTCAACGGTCTGCGGGCCTAAAATTAGCCGCCGAACACGGCAATATAGCCTAGCGACAGAAATGAGCTGACTTTCATAAACGAGCGAATGTATTGGCAATCTTCCACTTAAATCTCAAAAAGCAGATATCTAACAATTTCTGAACAGCACATTTTTTAGATTTAGAGCATGAAATATCGACGAACCAGCAGAATTTTGAAACGTAATTTGCATAATGCTTGTAAAGACAACAATTTACCGCTAAAACCAAAATCGAATTTTCTATATGGGGGAATTCTCCAAATCACCCCAAATCCCGCTTACTATCTAATGAAATATAGTACTTCAACATTCTCTGAAAGTTAGTCTGGTGTTCTCGCGAACGCTTGTAAAATAGATTGATTATTTTGAGGTTATTTTGCCGCAAACAACCGCTAATTGACCCCAGGGTCAGTTGACACGTGCACGTCACCTTAGTTTTATGCATCGATTTGAGCTCGTTAAAAGGGCGAAACTAACAAGATTCTTTTAATATGTACCTGTTTTAATGAAATACACGCAAAAGGAGAGGCCGTTCAATGGGTAATTTCTGTTCTTGAGATCTTGTAGATTGTACCATGATTCTACCATGGCGTCTGCGAGTGGACCTGAGTCTAGGTCTGTTTTCCAGTGACTGCGAAATCAGAATAACATCAAGAAATAATTCTCCCTCGAATCTTCGTAAGTGAATCAGCTTTGCAGTGCCTTACCTGAGATAAAAAGTGGGCCGAATAGCAAAACAATTCTAGCGCAATTTGGATCCTTTGTGGAACGCAGTGTATTGCTGAGCGAAAGGCGAGTAAACAAACGTAGGAAAGTACGTTACCTTTGATTGCGTGACCAGCCAGTAAACGATAGTCTCCAGCGAAAAATAGGATTCGCAAAAATCTTGCTGATGTATATTTAACAGTTTGTTACTAAAAATTTACACCTGGTTTGTCTAAAACTTTAAACAATGCATATCTGTCCAAGAGTATAAGAATGTTTCGAAAGATCCACCCCTAAATAACTGTGGGCTACTCCTTTTTCCCCATCACCGATGTGCACTTCCTTCCCACCGTCTTTTGCATGAGGCTTGTATGCCTTTTTAACTGTTATCGACACTTAAAACTGGCCGTTTAAGGCCTGGTTTAAGAACTTGACTGACTTAAAAAACCGTCGCGGACATGCGCCATTATTGTTGGACTTTGGAAGCTTTAAGCCCAAAATGATGGTGCAATCTCAAGAAATTTGCCCGGGTCTAATTTTAAGACAGGGAACGGGTACTAAGAAAGGGACGGTCTCATTTAGCAACCCGTGGACAATCTGGGCATGCTTGCCTTCTGTCGCAGGGGCAACCTTTAAGGCCAGGTACGCCGCCCCCACCCGAGAGGATTGCATGGCATCCACCATTTCAGTCGCTTTTTTTACAGCATGACCTTCAATTATTATGAATTATAATGCGGGCCTTGATCGTTGCCACCTTACCAGAAGTCTAATCTTCGCACTGTTAGACCATGAGAATCTCTATTATTATTCCATAAATGCACCATTTGACTTTTCCTTGCTCAGCTTCCGGTAAACCGATACTCCGAAGCAAAAATAGCTTTACAACGACTCTATCCAGGCCAGAACTCCTGATATCAACAAATATACCCCCCTCTAAAGAGAGCAAACGTTCCCCGAACTATTCACTTGACCCACCCCATCCCTTCGTTAAGAAAAAACTAAGCACTCAGTTCACTGGACAAAACGCGCTCGTGAATATACCAAACTATAGCCGTTCATCCTACAAGCAATCTCAGTTTCAGCAAGCGTGGCCACGTTTCCAGTTGCTGTAAGATTAATTCGACACCTGCAACAGACACTGTAAATTAAATAGAGTGTTTTCACTCACGTGGCCAGCATCTATGCAAATTTATTGGAACAAAAGAAAGCGTTTGCATAAGAAAGGAGTTCAACTCCTACAGGATTGGTTTGGGACACCAACATGGCCGCCGTTTCATTGTTTTGGGACACCAATATGGCCGCCGTAATGTCATGTGAAAACACTCTATGCCTTGAAACTGTCAGGACGAGAAAGATTATAAAAGACTTAACAGGTGTGCTTGGCGGTTTCCTTTTCTTCCTTTCCTCCCATTGTAGCACTCAAATTCTGACCCTGATATTAATTCTAGTAGTAATTAATCGTTCCTGAGCCGATAGGCACAAGGATACCAGTTTCTTGCAAAATATGCTGTGACATCCGTTTGCTCATCCCCTTTTCTGCCTTCGGCCGCTGATCAGGTTTGGTTCTGTGCTTTGAAATAACTTTAGGAACGAACATGATACGTGAGGGGCGTGTCCGGCTAAGGGCAAGTAACTCTCGGTGGTGAAGACATATACTGAGCTTGTCAGTATTTCGTAGCCTGTACCACGTCGCGAAAATAGAACAAGCCAAAGAAAAATAAGACGCCTTTCTTTCCCCAGCCCACGCAGGTTTTCGCATTATTTTTTACTGCACAACTGATTCTACCTTTTCGAGCCGGAGCGAACATGGACGCCCTCCACTTCATTTTCGGCACCTGACTAAACGCAAGCGCTGACTCGTGCGCCTATGCCTCGTTTGCACTGAAGTAGCAGTATATGACCACGACAGACTTGCTGCTATCCTTGGTTTGAAACCGCAATGGGCAAGAACAATTTCTTGAAAAGAGCAAACTATTTCCTCCTTAGCAGACATGGAGAACAACTACTAGGGCTTAAGCAATGCCATTGCTTAAGTCCTACTAGACTTGAAAAGAGAAAGCATGATGCTTTCTCTTTTTTATGATTTACGGCTAAACAGTACAATTTCATGTAGCTTTTACGCAAAATTAAATACTTAGTTGTTGGCACAATTGCATTTAACAACAAATTACAGAAATTTAAGTAAGTTTAGATCTCATAGATAAGAATTGAACGGAAAAAACTTTTGGGGTAAAAAAGTAAAAAAACGTTTGCTGGAAAATCACTTAATGAACATATATACAATAGCAGAGATATCATGCCTGTAATTTTCCGTTCAATGCACCTTATGAGAAGTCTGACTAATCCACTGGTAACCCATGCCTTAAAACCGCCTTGAACCTTAAAATTTAATCCATTTGCCTTTCATGCGTAGTGCAAATATATCTTCTAAACACTCCGGGGTGGGGGGAAAATCAGAAGAACAGAACATTCAGTTACTGTACCATTTTTAAAAGTGGGACAGTATGTTTGCTAATCATCTTAGTTAACCGCTTTTAAAATAGGACAAAAGGACACCTGGTCATACAGGAAAATGAATTTACTGTACCCCGAAAGCTTTGGGTGCACTTATTTTTCGCAGGAGACAATCGATAAATTCCTGGTCACGCAATCGGAGGTGAGTAACTAATTAAAAGTCACTGATACCATCGCCGCTTAGCACATACACTACGTGCTGCAAAGGATCCAAATTGCGCTAGAATGTTTTCCTATTCGGCCCACTTTTTATCTCAGGTAAGGCACTGCAAAGCGGATTCATTTACGAAGGTTCGAGCGAGAATTATTTCATGATGTTATTCTGATTTCGCAGTCACGGGAAAACAGACCTAGACTCAGGTCCACTCGCAGACGCCATGGTAGAATCATGGTACAATCTACAAGATCTCAAGAACAGACATTACCCACTGAACTGCCTCTCCTTTTGAAGATTACGTGTATTTCATTAAAACAGGTACATATTAAAAAAATCTTGTTAGTTTCTCCCTTTTAACGAGCTCAAATCGATGCATAAAACTAAGGTGACGTGCATGTGTCAACTGACCCTGGGGTCAATTAGCGGTTGTTTGGGGCAAAATAACCTCAAAATAATCAATCTATTTTACAAGCGTTCGCGAGAACACCAGACTAACTTTCAGATAATGTTGAAGTACTATATCTCATTAGGTAGTAAGCGGGATTAGGGGTGATTTGGAGAATTCCCCCATATAGAAAATTCGATTTTGGTTTTAGCGGTAAATTGTTGTATTTATAAACATTATGCAAATCACGTTTCAAAATTGTGCTCGTTCGTCGATAATTTATGCTCTAAATCTAAAAAAATGTGCTGTTTAGAAATTGTTAATATCTGTTTTTTGAGATTTAAGAGGAAGATTGCCAATATATTCGCTCGTTTATGAAAGTCAGCTCATTTCTGTCGCTAGGCTATATTGCCGTGTTCGGCGGCTAATTTTAGGCCCGCGGACCGTTGAAATCGAAAATCTCAAATAATTCCCAAACTCGGCCGCATTTTGAAATTTAAACCTCAGCAGTGTTATAAACTCTTTAAAACCTTATTACAGACTTAAAATGAGGGTAGGTTAGGTTTTGAGCCGTGGCCACGGTTTGCTCGATTTTTCTGTGCATTCGCTCTTAAGTTCTCGTTAAAGTGTAAACAGGCCAATATGTGTCTAGAAAACAACTTACCCTATGAGGTAAGGATGTTGCTGTTGAAGATGAGGGTGATGATGTACAGACTGGTGTGCTTGGTGTAGTATCTATCAATGGCTGAAAATATTGTCATATTTGAAGATGAATGAGATTGGGCCGAGTGATGGCGGAGTAGGAGCACCCAAAAAGCCGTCTGCCTTCCAAAAGTTCTTTATGGCCGAAAAACTGTCTAACTATATTAGAAAACGCAGAAATCGATCATCGACAAGCTCCGGAGGCGAGACCTCGCCATTTCAAGAGGCAAAAAAGCCCAGAGATCTAACAGAAACAGAAGACGAAAGCACAGGTAGCGACCACGAGACAAATGACGAAGTCATGGCGGCTCTCAACAAAATAGAACACATCGGAGAAA